AATTACAAACACAAGAAGAAGAATGATAGCCATCGTTTTTTTAGCATTAAGCACCATTTTGTCTCCCACTTCATCCATGTTTGCTGGAGGGTGTTGGTGACCAAAACGTGTACCTTCGTTGCAAGAAATCACCATTTAGATGGAATTTTCCCTTATTACAGCGTTTGCAATAATATTGCGGCGTTGCCGTGTATGCCTCCTCAAATGACTTCGTATCTCTGGTCGATCATCTTGTTCGGGATATTAAGCTGACCACTGGTCTTCTCTTGCAAAGCGTTGAGCATCACATCTGATGTATTCAAACTATTCTGTGTCAAAATACGGATTCTGCAGAACGCGTAGGTCCATCCAACTAATGTTGTCGAGTGAAGATCATACGGCGAGTTCCCCAATTACAGTTGATTGGATCAAGTGTAGCATGACGGTTACACGAGTCTTTAACTCGAGCCAATCCCACGGAGTTGTCGGGCGAGAATACATTCAAATGCTGCCGAGAGAAGTTCTATTCATGTCCTCGCTGATGAGCTGCACTTCCTTCATTCTGCCCACTATTAAAGGCGGGGATATGGGCTTCTGTTTTTTTTCTAGGGATAACAGTCTGAGATTTATATCGCAAACCGGAGGTGCTGCATCAAACACTCAAAAATGTCAACCCTTAGCGCCTAATTATCCAACAAGCTGTCATTGCGCCTTAGTCGGCAGAATCTTTGAAGTGTCGGCATATTAGTTGTAATAAATCGCTGTCTATAATTTGACAATTTGTTGGATAAAAGGTAAATTGCACTCAGGCTGGTAAAAAAGTCAAGATGTACCTGCGCTGATCAGTGGTGTAGTAATGATTTTACGGGGGGGGACAAAGGGGAACAAGCATCTTATAGGGGGCACCAGCTTTCGTTGATGTGCTTTTTGGGAGGCAAGTTTAATTTATGTCAGCCTTGTTCAATATCCATTCATCCGTTTTTTTTGTGGGGAGGGGGCACCTGGGGAAATTGGGAATTTGTGGGGGCACGTTCCCCTAGCCCCCCTCCCGGCTACGCCTCTGGCGCTGATCACGGATATATAAAATAAAGTTTATGGGATACATTGGCTGAATATTTTGATCACTTTAAAAAAATATTTGACAGTAGGGTTTATACCGTACCAGGTAATAACTGGTTGCATATAGCCTACAAGTAAAGCATAAAATTAATCTTAAATTCCAAAGTCTCGTCTGATGACTTCCCGACAATGCCACCTAAATTCCCTATTGGCTAAGCCGTAGATGAATGGATTCAAAGCAACATTCACGTAACACAGATGGTCTACCACCCACATGGTAATGTGAAGTGCACTGTTACGAGGAGGTTCGTGTAGAACTAACACCAAATCGTATGCAAGTGATGGACACCAAGATATAATGTGAACTAGTGTGGTCAAAATTAACACCTTTGATATCTTGACCACGGCCGGACCATTTTCGCTACAATTGCAGCGTCCCAGCACTCTAGTGGAGGACAGACGTCTTGGACATCGCCTCATAGGGTCGTTGATGGTTAAGGTGTTCTGTATGGTAGTGTCACCCTTAGGCGACAATCTGAGGGTTCCTGTTTGTGTAGCACTGGTGTTGTCGACTGTCTGTGTTACAGTACCATCCATGGTTGGCAGTGCAAGAGTTCTTGTTGGCGTAGCATTGGTGTTGTCGAACTTTAGGGCTCTCTTTGCAGTAGTTTTGTGCAAGGTTAACGTTCCAGGGGCTCCTTCCGGTGTTGCTACTACTCTTCGAGGAACAGATTCTGATGAGGAATGTCCGAGTTCATTAGAGACTGGATACTGTGTAACGCTTGAGATTGCCCAGTTTGATAAATTGTCAGCATTTTCTGAACTTATGTGCCCTCCATGGGGATTCCCTGGACCTTTTCTCCTATAACCAGATATGACTGTACATTTGTAGCATTTCCGTAGATTGGCGCGTACTTTAGCCCGGTTCCGCATACGCATGCAGATTTTGATGTACACACCGACTACCAAGATCACGATGATAGCAAATATAGCTGTGCTGATGCACACGGCAATCTTATTCCAAGAGCGTTTTTCCTCGATTGTTCCGACCATGTCCCCAGCAGTCCATAGGACTGACAAAGTCCCCACAAGCAGCACCACTACCTTGGCCTTAGCTGTTGTAAGAAATCTTATGTTAAGTCGACATAGTGCCTCATAACGGTCAGCAGCAATGGTTGCAATGACACTTGCCGCACATATGGATTGTCCTTTTATCGCTTGAGTAAGCAACTGGTCGGTCATCACACAGAGATCTTCATAAGTAGAAGTAACAACCATGTGGACGGTTACACCAAGTCTGGCTATGCTCGTCACACAAATAATCAAATCAATTACCAACAATGTCTTGATGAGAAATTTGAACGTTGTCTGCCGACCAAAGCGATGATGCACTCTCAACACGTAGATGGTAATTGGGATGTTTATGAGCAATAAAACAAGAAGGATGATCGCCATGATTCTTTTAACCTGCATCAATGCCTCCATGATAGCTTTGTATGTGTCCTAAATCAAAGGTTCAGCAAACTATTTTGGTTCCATGACATCGAAAAAGCTGCATTGCTTTCAGTGTGATATGTTACACCAAAACGCCCTCCAGCTTATCTAAGTTCAATCAGGAGTAAAACTAATCGGTGCACAAGGCAGTTAGGAACTCATTTCAACTGTGCGCTGCATGAAGGTTGACTTAAGGGCTGTATAAAAACCAGCCTTGGCGATGCAAGGTGAAAAAATTGAGGAAGAAGAAACGTTGTTGACGAAGAAGCTGCAAAGATAGAGGAGATATTCCGTTGTAAAAGGTCAGAAAATCGGCAGTGTGGCTTCGGTGAATACAGGCGATCCCTTTGTGGCCAAGTTGGAAAGCCAAAGTTAAATATACGTGTTCAGTTGTCTGCGCGGTAATATGCGGATAATGATTAAGCTGACATTTTATAAACTTTATAAACTCCTTAAATACTACTCCATTTCGATGAGATCATAAAATGATTTTTCATTGAGATTCACCTCTTTCTGGTAAATACTTCATATTATTGCTTTCTTTGGCGAATGCAGTGGTTTCATTATCACACCAGAGACGATTATTATTGTTTTGAAAACTGATTGCCGTTGGGTGAAAGTTAATAATGCAAAAGCCGGTCAACGACTCCAATAAAACCGTCTTAACTGTCCTCTTAATCATCTTATATTACATTTCACTGCCAAACACCGCCACAAGTGATTACAACTGGCATTAAGTTTTGAAGATTGATGGCTGTGCTAGGTTATTAGATCCATCTTGGATATACGCGTACAATGTCGTCATGCAAGAACTGCCAGAACAATATAAACGAGTTAATGAGTGATATCGTCACTGATGAGTAGGACACAAGGAAGCAATAATGACCATCAGAACCAACAACCTTATCGACAGGTACAGACTTGGATGGCCAGTAAAATGAGTCAAATCTGTAGGAGGGAGTGGCATTGTACTTGTGATTATCGAGACAAGCTAAATGAAGTTAGAGAAAGCACTGCATCTATAATCTGTATATAAACAGTCTACCAATGGTATCACGAAGGATACTTTGCTATTATCTGTTGTGGTTTATTTACTGAAACTGCAAATTGAATCTCCGTCACATGAAAACATCTTTACAGTAATGTCAGTTGATGTGTTACTGGTGCGGTGATGACTATTACTTTCAAATCCTACTTTTACTCTGATTCCTGAAATCAAGTAACTCACCAATCATAGTGCTTTTTATGGATAAAGTTAACACAGACAGTAAAAGAGCTAAAATAGAATTGTTAATAAATTAAGTTTTGTTCAATTAATTTTTCATTGGCTCATTTCACTTGATGAGCATGGCTGCTTGAAGAAAACACACAAATACAGGCTATTTACTGATGACAGCCACTAAAATTATCAACAAAAACAATGCACGTATGAGGATTGGTCCCTGTCATAACTACATCAGGTTCATCCCACCAGACTATTGGTTTAAGGACAAACTGTCATTGACACAGAGGCACACTTCTGGGCACCAAAGCAGTCACCTCAGAAGATCATTTAATTGCTTTGTCATTATTTTGCTATGACTGGCAAATTGAGCAATCATTGTAATGTGGACACATCCGGACAGAGCATATCTCATTAAACCATTAAGAGAAGGGGTTGAGACATACACAAGACAGGTGTGTTGTCATCATAATTATGTAATTACTAGATTACAAGCTCTGTGAGCCTTCTTATTGTGTTTGTGCAGTGACGATGACTGGTTTGGTGTCCTCTCACAATCATGCTGACAAAAATGTTGCCCAAACAATAAACTCCCTTCTCTTTCCACACCTCTGAGCATATTTATCTCTCAGGCAGGCTTTATATTACGTCTTTCAAGAAAGTACGTTTCTTTTTAAAAATTTATGAAATGGCATCAAGATAAATCTTGAGTACATGTACGTTTATGCTGTCAGCCTATTGAACCTTTTCAACCCAAATTGCACAGTGTAATGTATGTAACTTCAATTCAGATATTGATGGCATTTTAAGTATTTGTAAGTAATATCTTCAGTGATTTATAATTAATAAGGAATAAATCTGTGCTTGGCCAGTCTTAGAGGTGCGTTTAAGACCAGCTCAGGAGAATGGATGCAACTAATGCCCAGGCCACAGGCTCAGGCATTTTCAGTGTTCAGTCTCCTGAGCTAGTCTTAAATGTTAATGTAAGACAGGCCAAGCACATACATGTATTTATTCTCATTCATAAATACCTTTTTAGTCAGAGAGCCAGAAGTCAATATATGATGGATTTCCATTAATTTTGTTTGAGAGTTTTACCTTCATTTTCCTGAACACACCCATCTGTTTTATGGAATATTCCTTGGACAAATTGTCCAATTCGCACGTGCATAGCGAGCTGCATGCACACAGACTCTTGACCAATCAGAATCAATTAATTTAACTGTCTTGTATCCAGGTGCCAGCACGTGATTTAGGCAGCGGGCATTATCAAATGTTAATACATGGTCAAGTCGTGTGTTGTTAAATAGGGAGACTGTCTGAGATGTTTATGTACTCGTTTTAATTGTATGAGTTGGCAAAGATGCATGGTTTCTTGCCGGTAGAAATGTAAACTGCTTGAAAGTGGTTCACAGGTTCCAAGAATCTTGCTAGAGGTGGGTTGATAAGGAGAAGGGAGAAGCTTAACCTCAGCATCCTGTTACCGTAGGGTCAAGTCCTGACCTCTTTGTAATGTGTAGCTTAACAAGTTCTTCTGCACAGGTTGGATGGACACCAACAGTAGATGCAAGCTGCCTATAGGTCACACCACATCTGTCAAAACAACCAGTATTTATGTTAGTTTTGCTCTTCGTGTGAATTTCGGTAGTTAGTTTGGAGTTAGGTTCAAGTGCATACTGAAAGGAGAAACTATGGTGAGGTAGGGCAAAGCAGGCTAACATTGGCTTGAATAAGATGGGATAGAAAAGTTACTTACTTGATGGCTACTGCAAAACCCTGGATAATCTCTCCAGCATATGGTCCTACAATATGCAATCCCAGAATCCTTTGGTCTCCTTCTCGTAAACATACAGCCTACAAGAACATAGAAAAAAAATACCACTTGTGGGTCATGTTATAAATTTAGGGTTTCTGTCCATCTAATATATGCTTTTGCAAGTTAGGAACACATTCTTTAATTTCAAAGGATGATCAAGTAATGCAAATGACCTACTAAGCAACTAAAAATAGTTTGACTGCAATGCCAATGATATTTCCATGTCAAAATTCAGAGGTTGAGTGCAACAGGGACGCAAACATTTCACAATGTATATTTATATATATATTTATAGAATGACCCATGTGTAAATCCATGCCTTGTGTCATAAGACATATTTTTGTTGTACCACTGCATGAAATAACAGAAGCAAAAAAGTGTTTTATGAAAAAGAGTTATATTTTAAATACACACAACATCTGTTTAATCTTGTTTATAGTCCATCTTTTCCTGAGTTTGAGGGCTGGCTTATACTATTTGGTTCAATACTAGAGTAGAATTGATCTATGGATATTTCAAGTACAAATATGCATTTGTTACAAACCTGTAAACAAAGTGAAAGGAGAAGAAACTATAAACTACGACTGTATGCATGTTTACCTTCATATAGCACTGGTCTGAGGATCTGTCAGGGACAGTATATTCCAGTGGTTTGTAGAATGCATGGTAGATCTGAAAAATATCCATCACAAGAAAGATTTCAGGAAGAATGACAAACCCTGGATATAGCTAGAATGATTTGTGGAATGAACGGTAGATCTCTAAAAAATGAATTGTAATAAGCCTTCCCGAACAATCGAGGACACAAGACATTCTTGGCTACAGGACATTCTAAGAGGACTGAATACAATCTATGGTCCGGAACAATTCACAAGCAGAGAGTTCATAAGGACTGCACAATTTGACTTGGCCAAGACTTTGCCCTTCCTTATTTGCACAATGAACTTTGAACATGTGCATTGCAAGTAAATTTTGAGGACATATCACCATCCATTCTTCCATCATTCCTTGGTCTTCCATTTTATGCTCACCTCAAGGTTATCCTCTTGGTATCTCTCAATGGCATCTTCTTCTGAAAGTCCAACAGTGCTATACTCCAGTGGTGTGAAGACAGTCGTTGCAACCTAAGAAATAATGCAGTAAATGTGAATGAATTTAAGAGAGTTATTTTCAAAACCACTGCGCACAAAACATCAAACTGTACTCTTCTTGTTCATGGCTTACTGATTCTTTGCTTGATAGTGCTTTGCCCTTTACTTGACTTTAATTGATCTTTAATTAATATTGACTTTAGAAGATTAACTTTAATTAATGCTGTCATGTGCCGGGGCAAAAAGCAATCAGGCATTTTGTTTTACCAAACTTACCAATGCAACCAACTGGTTTAATTAACTCCGTTTGATAGGTAGCATGAGATAATGACATGGACACTCCATCTCTCTTGTACCAACAAGCACCACTCAGAGCTGACAACTTACTGGTGACAGACTGAACAGGTTTGTTGAATATCAGCACTCTCACCTGACTTGACAACATTTACACACCTGTTCATAGTCCATGACTTCTAACTTTCCCCCAAAAAGTCGATGAGCTAGCAATTTGCCAGCCTTGATGGCAACAGGTGTCAGCTCGTTACAACCCTGTGGGATAAAAAGTGCACGTTCTGTGTTTCAACAAAAGGCATCAGTTTGTTACTAACAAATGAGATCAAATGGCACAGCCTGTATTTACAGAAATCTGCAGTGAGATAGCGCTTTAACATTACCCTCAGTAGAGAGTAGAAAGAAAGAAATGTCATCAAAAGGCCGTCATTCACTGAGTCTTGTATGCTAACAAGATGTGTGGCTAATCAAAATGGCAAATGATACACAATTGTTGTGTTAATGTTTTGTGCCGTGGTACAATCTTCGCAATTGCATCAAAAACTAATCTAATTTGAATGAATTTACAATGTTTTGAATGATATGTCAGTATCCTTTTGAGGAATATTTTACCTCTAAGATATCCCCGATGGCGTAGATATGTGGTACAGAACTTTGTTCATTTTGACCCTGAATCTTGCCATTAGAGTGAAGCTTCACCTTTGTGTTCTCCAGACCCAGTTTTTCTGTTTGAGGTTCTCTTCCTGCATAAATTCAAGAAAAATAAATAATTGCAACAATGAAGAAACTTTCAATCTGTGGACTTCCCTGCTCTAATTGGAACAACAGCAACTACATACCTATCCGTGATTTACATTTGTGACCCACTCTGCAAAAAAAAGTATTAAGGAACGCTGTACTATTTCATGCTAAGGGTTTCTATGCAGAGAGGCAGAAAAAAAGATTATTAATGAATGAAGATGAAAAAAAAAAAACGTTTTGTATCCATTTTTTCATCTTTTGTTTGACTCTTTGTCAGTTTTGGGAAAAAAACCAACATTACACCTTTACAGTATATAATATGATTATGAAAAAATTATTATATCTCCAGATTGCAAAATGCCACAGGGTTCAACCCTACACCAAATGAAAGCTTGTAATGTAAGCAATTCAAATGTGTGCATGTATGTAACTCATTTTGAAAAAAATGTCTCACAACACCCATTTTTGTGGAGCCGGTCACATTTATTTTAAGCAGCTGAGCAGCCTATCCTTGTAATTTCTATAGCACTTAACATTTCATTGCTACACCTTCAGATTTGTCATTAATGATTATCTCCTTGTTCCTACCTATAGCAAAGAGTACAGAGTCAAATACACATGTCTTCTCATTTCCTCTTGAATCGGTCCATTTCACTGACACAGTCCCATCGTTGTTTTTTTCAAGACTCTTGGGTGTAGACTGCCAAAGAAATTCAATACCTGTACCCTCCATGTAGTTGGTGACCATACCTGCCATTTGCTTAATAAATGAGAAATGGGAACATACATGTTATCCGTCATGGCCTTGACAATATGTCTCTAGTAATACAGCATTGTGATGTCACAATTTATTTAAAAACTGTTTTAAATCTTCAGAACAGTAGTGGGCCCTCACCTGCACCAACTGTATAGCTACAGCAGGTAGTTGGAAATGAATTAGAGATATCTTTTTATGAATTTATTTATAACCCCCACCCTTCCACATATGCCAATGTTGCCGTTATTTAGGGATGTGAATGAAAGGCCATGCATAAATTTAGGCCAATGTTTAACTATCAATCATCCACACTGACACAGGATGTCATTTGCAAAGCCTTAAAACATTGATAGCAATTGCTGGAGGATTTTGAAAGATTGAGACTGCATTCAATTTTTACATAAAGACAATTGATGGATTTTGAAGGACTGAAGTTGCATCACAGCAAAACTGCTTAAGGTTAATGTAACGAAAACTAGGGCGAATTGAATCCAGACCAAAATGAGCAACTGAATAAAAAAAGTATCATTCATACAACCTGTACCTGGTCAAAACCTCTGAGGCATATGGAACGCACCATAACAGTTGTGGGTAAACCAAGGCCACTCAAGAAACCCGCACACTCTAATGCAACATCTAAATGACAAGGTAAGGTTGCCGTATATTCTAAGATGTGTATACACCAACTCTTGACAAACATGTAATCCCAAGCTTAGCCTGTACAGTGTATGTTCCTGAGACAGATGTATGTAATGCTTTCATTGTTACAGTTCCACTAAGGGGTTATTGAGGTGTGGATGTCGAAGAAATAATTTAACATACAGACAAACCCACAGAGTTCTCATTTTTTCAATGTTAAGGTTCTCCATATCTGCTTTTAGTGTTCCATTTTTAAATTTGCACTGAAAGTTTTGTACCTTAGTTTGAGAAATGATGCTAAAAGATTCACAGAGGCTGTAATGGACTAAAACATTCATTCTGAGTATCTCTATCAAAGGATACAACTTCCACCAATAACGAGCCTGTGCAAACAAAAAATTAACAGCAAAATTTTATTTTGAATGTAAACTGCATCACCACAAGAAAGTAAAAAGTGAAAGCAACAACGAAAGAGAGTGAAGCTATTATCTAATTTGGAAACTCAATTAACCCAATCCAAACCTACGTTTTTCCAGGTGATTCTGGCAATGAGAAGAGGTCATCACTGGTGATACTGTGTTCAACTGCTCCAGGCACCTAGAATAAAAGGAAACTTGGCCATGGCTGCTTGAGAAATGTCTACTAGGAAACTAGGACAAGACTGTTTGCAATAAAAATCCCCAAATTAAGACTAGGATTACAGGTCTGCAATATACACTAAATGAAAAATATTCTTTTACTCTCTAATCATTTATATCTGCTCTGAGCAGGAACAAGAGAGGGCTTGTGTAAACTCACCACATGTACGCATAGTTTTATGTACATGTGGCATGGTACACACTGAGTGCGTGCGATCAAGTTCTGTTTACATGAATGGTCTTTCCATGTGAGCATGAGCCCAAATTCCCAGCAGTCTTCTTTGCCAATGAGGGCGCACTGCAACTTGGGGCAGATTGTACTCTTCCCATCTTCTTCCTTCCACTCACATGTCATGTGTGTATAAGCCACAGAACTACAAGTAATGCATTGAAATACTCTTACATTTTCAGGGTATCTTGGTCGCATTCCTGTTGCGAGCACTACATTGCTAGCAGTCAGAATCCTCTGAAGAAAAAACATGTTAGAAAGAATTCATCAACTTCAACATTATTATTGGAAAATTTAGAAAGCAACACCCACTTTCAGTATGATACCAGTACTTACATGTACAAGTACATCTACTCTTTCATGAATACAAACATAATGAAATTAGCAAAGTACAATAGGAAATTGAAATATTTCTCAATGAACATTATAATACACAAACTACTGCTAACTTATCAATGAAACTTAGCCATAGGATCTGAAAACTCCAATCCTTACAGTATTGTAATCAAGATGACTAATTCCAAAAGGATTGTGCTTACTTCATTTCCATTTCTCATGACAGCTTTGATCGTGTGTTCATCAACAAAGGAACCTCTGGCATTCAGATATTCAACTCTTCTGCAAACAGAGTAAGAAATGTTGATTTCGTGCAGAAGTCAGTTTTTCATTTTGGGATAAAAGACTTTTATACAATAACCAAACAACCGACAACCACTGTCTACCATTTACCACCCACAACTGACTGCAATATTTACATAACAATCATTCTCATAAACGGCAATTCACATAAAGTCCCTAGTCGCTTAAACAATCCCAAAACCTCAGCTCCCTAGGGAGTGTGACAGACCCATTTCAGATGTACTATAGACCCTTTAACCGATGCTCTAATGTGTATTTCTCAGCTGCATTTTTAAATTGTATTTTATAATTTCTATCTAAAACAAAATGTTTCCGATAAACTCCCTGTTCCAAGACTTACTTGTCTTTCAGTTGAACACGATGACCCCAGTTCAGTGATCTAACATGATTCTGCACTGACTCCACCATGTCTTCCCTGTGACAAGGAGTTTAACTATAATCATAATGGCAACGACATGAGTATCCCAACCATCATGCAAATGAAAAAAACCTGAAGTTATCTATTTTTGAAAGGGAAGATTCAACCTCACTGTAGAACAGGGTACAATACAGAAATAAAACAACATAAAAACATACTGGGGCCAACAAGCATGTATACCAAAGTCTTCGCTTTAATAAATAAATAAATAAATATGTGTACGTGTATCTTACTTTCAGAGGACTAGACCATGACTCCCTAAGAGCAGAAAAACTGAGTTTAAGCATTGAAAGGTACAGGTGTACATTACCAAGAGTGGTTGACACCAGAAGGGACCTGCCAACCATAGTGCTTAGAATCCTCAATGGCTTCTCCTAGTAACGAGGCTTGGTGCATTAGCTTCTTAGGGATGCAACCAACATTCACACATGTACCTCCAAGACCCCATTCGGTGCCTTCAATGAAACAGCAGACAAGAATGATGTCTTTTTTTTCCTTTTAGATTTGAAACTGATGTTACTGACAAATAATTTATCTTCCATTTTGATAATATAATGCTCTTTTAAATAAAACAGGTCGATTTTATTTCAACCTGTGTTTTTCATCACAAAGTACAATATTTATCATTTCCTTGAAAGTTGTCAACTTAAATTAGTTTCATTCAGTACAAAAAGTGTGCAACAAATATTATGGCTGATCATTTGTACCCTCCTTTGGGATGGCACGAATTTGCTAGTCTGTAAAACAATTCTAAACCAACACAAATCAACAGCTCCCATACCATTAGGTGTTGGTTCAACATGATCCAACACAATGATCTGTTTGTTGTAGACGGCAGCTGGAAGAAAGGAAAAGAAGAACTGCACACATTACAAACTTTGCTGATCATAATGTTAGCCGTTTTTTGGTCTTTAGCTTTACAACGAACAAAGTAACAATTAATTTTCTCTTTACACGTACAATGTTGTGTCCTGTGCTTCCCTTTTAAGGGTAGGTACAAATAAGCAATTGGGTGAAGGCACTCACTAAGGCATACAGTGAAGGCACACACTAAGGCATACAGTGAAGGCACTCACTAAGGCATACAGTGAAGGCACACAGTGAAGGCAC